GCAGCTTGGGGAGGAGGGCAGCTTGGGGAGGAGGCCCCGGGTGGCGGAGGGAGGGGAGAGCGCTCTTCTGCTCCCAGAGATCACCCCAGAGCTGCGAGTTTGCTCACTTGGGGGTCTGCCTGAAGCTTTGTGGGCTTTGTGGGACTGGGCGCCGTCTCCTGCTGCGGAAAGGAACAAACTCTCACGTGCGGCTTTGCGAAGGCTCGTGTGCAGGACCCGGCTTCGGCGCTCGGTGCAGATCCTGCAGGGCGAGAGGTTGTGGATCTGCCCACACCTTTCCGAGGCTCACAAACCCAGTCTTCGGCGCCCGAGTTCCCACACTCTCCTCCTGCCCCCTCCCCCCCACCATTCCCGGACTCTGCGCTTGGCTGCCCCTCCCCACACACACGCGGCTGTTTGTTTTTGTTGGGTTTGTCAATGTTGTCTTTGTTCAAGAGATTGTGTCATCGCCTGGATGCCGGGAATAAAGTGCGACGCTGTGTGTGATCAAGTGTGTAACGTGTGCGGCCAGAGCTAAGGGATCCTCTGTCCACTAGTGCCGGTGCGCCGTAAGGACACGCGGGACCCAGGACCCGGGAGGGTGTCCGTTGTTGTTTTTAGATGAGAGAAAGGCCACCGTGTGTGTGACATCACATGTGTGTATCGTGCGAATGGGCTCTTGAATATGGACTGTGAAAATCTGGGCTTGAAGGGTGACAAAGTAACCAACACATGTACATCTGGCGTGTGTAAATACGTGTGATGGCGCGCAAGTGTGAAAGCATTTGTGACTAATATCACAGCCGCGTGTGTGGAAGCATGTGAAACTCTTTGACATACGCATGCTAATGTTTGTGAACAGTGTGTGAAGACCAGGGGAAACGTGTTTGGGCGTGCAGAGGGGGTGGGGCGAGGTGGGGGCAGGGATGTGTTTGCGCAGCGTCCCGGGGCTGTGTAGCTGCATTTGGCTCCATCTGAGCTGGTCTCGCAGTCAGTCGGGCCCCAGAACCCAGCTCAAGTACCCGGCTCTGGCTCCCTCCCCCGTGCCATGTAAACAAACCCACTGGAATTCGCCTCTCGGGGCTGTACTCCCAGGCGGGATCTCCAGCCGTCTGGAGAGGGGTTGGCAGGCGGGTGTCGCCTCCTGGGGTGGAGAGGGTGGGCAGGTGTTTGATTAGGCTCGAGTGTGTGCCTGGAGCTGGAGAGCTGAGTGCTGTGTCTGCAGGCTTGGTGGTTTATGTGTGTAGTTGTGTACCTGTGTGCGCCACCGGGGTGGTGGCGTGTGTCTGCGTCCCTAACCGGCTCTTTCTTGGGGCTGCGTAGCAGGGGAAGCCCCTGACCCCGGGCCCCTGGCCGTTCGGGCCCAGCTTCCTTGGTTCCCAGGCTGTTTCATCCTAGTCTTTTACGGCCAGGCCTGGCGACAGCCCCTGTAATTACGCGGGGCCTGGACGCCGCGGCAAGTCCCGCGCTGACCCCGCGGGGGAGGAGTCTGGAGCCGAGAAGGGCTCCCGCCGGCCTCCTCTCCGCCGCCCCGGGGTGAAGCCGCAGGAGGTCCGACTCGCTGCACTTACGATAAATATCTACCGTGCGGAGGTCAAGTAACCCCGCGATGGGTCAGGGTCATCGCCCTCACCCTCACCTCACCCTCACCCCCACGCACACCTGCCGCAGGCTACGTGCCCAAGCCTCACGTCGATCGGAGGCGCGGCCGACCCCACCCTCCCGGGCCGAAGTCTGTCCTCCAACAGGCCCCAGGGCGGCACCTCACGCGCTTTTTGCTCACCTGGGTGTCGGCCTCCCGCGTGTCCCCAGTGAGAGTACCGCATCCTAACCAGCCCACGTGTCCCATAAGAGCAGGGATTTTGTTTTGTTCACTGTATTAGTAGCGCCTAGCACAGCACCCAGCATATGCAGTAGGTGGGCAACAAACGTTTGTGGAATGAGTGAGGTCACTCACTGTTGAGTAAAGGTGTTAAATGTTGCTCTGAAGAGAAACCAGTACAGGGGTTATAGGGCAGTGGACAGTGATACTCTTTAGAGAGGGTGGCCCAAGACTGTCCCCTAGAGGAGATGGCTTTGGGTCGAATTCCCTTTTTTGTGACGCACCGAGCGAGTACGTGTGGGGTCCTGCGCTCCTCGGCTTGGGTACAGCAGGTTCGAACTCGCTGGGCCCAGTCTGGCGGGACCACGTCCGCTCCGCCCCGCCTGCGTCTCGGTGGAGAGGAGGTGGTGGGGAAATCAGGTCACAAGCAAGTCGCGGAGACCTCCTTCCCTGATTTGGCGCTTTCCCAGCATTCTCACTTTAGTCCTTGATCTGTCACTCCTCTGTCCATGTGTTTGTGTTGTTCATCAGAAATAAATGGAACACTCCGAGACACAGGCATTGCGGTGGGCACCCAAAGTGCAAGGGTGAATCTAAGATAAAAATGCCACTCCAGGGGAGTCCGCGATCAGTTTTGGCATATGCTTTCCTGAATTCGGGAAGTAGAGGAAATCGACAAGCTCCCGCCAAGACAAACTGGCTAAATGCCGTGCTCCGACCCCAACCACACACTTTCTCTCGGCCCCGATCCCTCTTGGAACCGCGGCGACGCCTGGTGGACGGAGAGGAGGGTTGCAGGCACTGTGCAATTCAGAGGCAACCTAAGGGTCTTGGAACGCAGGGACCAACTCTGGGCCCCTCTTCACTCCAGCCCCTGGCTTGACTAGGCGGGTCTGGTCTTGATTTTTGCTTTGGGCTACTTCTCCCTGAAAAGTTGTGTACCTGCGTTGGCTCTCAGCACCGCCAACCCCAGGCAAACATCTGTGCTCAGTGTCTAGAACTTTAGTCTGTCTGTGTGTCTATCTGGGAAATTCCCTCCGTGAGTCCTTCCTGGGAATTCCTGAGGGGCTGGGTTAAGCCTCTGAAGCCCTGGGGGAGGGCTTGCCCCCACCTCCAGGGAGGGGCTGCCCACCTGTGGGTTCAATGCCTGCCTGCAGGCAGCGTTTCCAGTCTGGAACAGGCTCCACGGCTTGATTGCTAGTGCTTTGCTCTGTGCCCTGTGGTTTGGCATGGGGAAGGCCAGAGCCTCAGGGCCTTGGGGCGCGTCTTCCCTGGCTCAGCCCCAGAGGGCATCTCTGGGTAATGGGGTGAGGCAGCAGCGGGAGGGGCGGGCCCTAGACTGGATCTGCCTCTGTCCAATCCCTCGGGTCATTTTGAAAAATAAAGTGCATGTTTTCCAGGCAGTGGAGGTGGCGCACACCTATAATCTCTGTGTACTCCAAAGGCCGAAGCAGGAGGCTCACTAGTGGAGGCCAGGCTGGGCAACTTAGTGAGACCCCATTTCAATATTAAAACAAACAAACAAACATAAGGGGCTGGGGATGTAGCTCAGTGGTAGAGCACTCCGGGTTCAACCTCCAGTGCCTGAATAAATAAATAAATAAGTGCACATTCTCACTTTATTAGTAATGTGTCCCTGACTCCAATGTGGCTGCCGCAGCCAGCCTGAGAACCATCTGTAAGCTACAGGGGCCCCAGAAAGAAGGGGTGGGAGCAAAAGTTCTAAAGCTCTCCTCCTCCTCCTCTTCTTTTTCTTCTTTTCAAGGTTCTCTCTTATCGGGTAGGAAAATTTTGGCTGGGGGTGTTGCTAAGTGGTGGAATTCACGCTTAGCCTGTGCAAGGCCCTGGGCTTTATCCCCAGCACCCAAAATAAGTGGAAAGTAAATCTTCCCAGCTTCAAGGAACAGAACTGGCTCAAGTGTCCGGGTGCCTCTGATTGGGGCTGCCGCAAAGGCCTCCGTTTGCAATCACAAACCTGCTGGGTTCCCTGTAGACACCGGGTTTCTGTTAGCAGGGGTGCATGACTTTTGGGGAGCAGGGAAGACTGTGTGCCACAAACACGATGCATTTGAGGGGCCAGTGGAGCTTCTTGAGGAAGGTGCCCAGAGGGCATCCATCTGGAGATGAGGGTCCGGAGCTGAGGAGGACAAGAAGCTCAGAAGAGCTGTTGCGTTGGGATGTCAGGGCCAACCTTGAGGCTCATGAGAAAGGCTTCTCCTACAATGTCTGAGGCCCAGAAGATGAACTAAAAAGGAGCAGCAGGCTGGAATCCCTTCCTGTTATTAGTGGGAGAAATCCCTCCAGCCATCTCCCCAGCTTTGGAGCTCCATCATGGAATCACTGGGTGAGGGGTAGACAGGAGGACCTTCACCCCTAGTGCACTGCTAAACCTCCTTCCTTCTTCCTTCTCTTCTTCTCTTTCCTCCTCCTCCTGGTCTTCCTTCTTTTTTTCTGTACTGGGGATTGAAACCAGGGACACTTTACCACTGAACAACATCCCCAACCCTTTTTTTTTGGGGGGGTGGGTACTGGGGGTTGAACTCAGGGGCTCTCGACCACTGAGCCTTATTTTGTATTTTATTTAGAGACAGGGTCTTACAGAGTTGCTTAGTGCCTCCCTATGGCTGAGGCTGGCTTTGAATTCTTGATCCTCCTGCCTCAGCCTCCTGAGTCTCTGGGATTATAGGCATGTGCCATGGCGCCTGGCCCCAATCCTTTTTTAAATTTTATTTTGAGACAGGGTCATGCTAAGTTGCTCAGGCTGACCTCCAACTTGGGATCCTCCTGTCACAGACTCCTGAGTCACAAGGATTACAGGCATGCACCATTATGTCTGGCTCTGTCTGTAATCTTTTATGATAACACAGTACAAGAGCACAAGAGTTAGAGATTTATTTCAGAAGCATTACTTTATTTATTTACTTTTCTTTTTTCAGGGCTGGGGATTGAACCCAGGACCTCATGGATATAAGGCAAATGCTCTACCACTGAGTTAGGTTCCCAGCCAGGGGTTACATTTATGTATAGTAATTACAGAATTGCATGATCCGTGCGGAACACCAGGAAAACACAAAGGAAGAAAATCCCTCATAGAAGCTCAGTCTCGGGAGCAAGCACACTTCTCGATTCTTTTCTCAGGGTTCTGTGATTTTTTATGGTAAATATCTTGGAGAGGTTATAGTTTAACACCCGTGTTACAGCCAGCTTGGAATCCCTTACATTTGTGTAACGTTTTACGATGGCCCAGTATTTTCAGTTGTACATTTTATCACATACTATTTCATCTTTATAGACTCCTACACACTGTGAGGTGGGCAAAGGCAGGAGCTGCGTCCCCTCTGAGCAGGAGGGGGGACTCAGGCCCAGACAGGACAGAGGATGATTTCTAGCACTCTCATAGATGCCCTTAGTGTGTATGTTAGTCAGTTTTTTTCATCTCTCACAATACAACTTCAATGAGGGGAAGCTTGTTTGGGATTGTGGTTTCAGAGGTCTCCGTCCATAGACAGCTGACTCCATTGCTCTGAGCCCCAGGTGAGGAGCACGCGGTGGGGAAGGCCCTGGGTAGGAAAGCAGCTCTGCTCAAGGCAGAGTCAGAAGGCAGAGGCTGGGGGCAGGGCCACAGGGACCATGCACCTGTCTAGGGCACCCCCCTCTGCAGTAAACCACCTCCTCTGCCGCACCCCACCTGCCTTCAGTTACCGTCCAGCCGGTCCATTCAAACTGGGGTGGACTGATGAGGTGACCGCTCCCATAATCCCATCATTTCCCTCTGACTATCCTGCGTCCACGGGAGAACACCTCAGACCCAAACCCTAGCGTGGGGCTTGGATTCGCCCTGCCCTGTTTCTTCCATCCCCTGCCGCCTGGCTGTTCTGGGGATAAAGGGAAGGCTGTGGCTGAACGTGCTGACTCAGCTGTGAGCAATTGGAGATTGTTCATAGACAAGAGGCCGGCTCCCTCCAGACCCAGAGCTCCAGGTGTGGGCAGTAGGGGAGAGGGCAGAGGGTGGGGGGTCCTAGAGGAAAAGTGAGGGGGTTCGTGAGGTTCTTTGGACAGGTTCTGAGCTGCAGTCCCTGGGGGCTTAGGTCTGACCTGGCCCATCCCTGCAGGCGGTAGATATCCAGATAGAGGCTTCTTGCTGGCTGGCGCACAGGAAGCCAGATAAGGTAAAGTGTAAATGGAGGCTATGCAGAGGTCTGGGTTTGGGTCCAGGTGGGGAAACTTATTTAAACTTTTTTTTTTTTTTTTTTGGTACCGGGGATTAAACTCAGGGGCATTCGACCACTGAGCCACGACCCCAGCCCTTCCTTTGTATTTTATTTAGAGACAGGATCTCACAGAGTTGCTTAGCGCCTCTTCATTGCTGAGGCTGGCTTTGGACTCATGATCCTCCTGCCTCAGCCTCCCGAGTTGTTGGGATTACAGGCCTTTGCCACTGCGCCCGGTAACTTATTTAAACTTTTTGAGCCTCTGTTTTTGTTTTGTTGTTGTTTGTGAAATGGAGCAATGTGGAATTATTAGAGCAGTTGAATGCACTAACATACGAGGGGATCCGGTGCGAAGCCGGGAGGGTACGTGTCTCTAGGCACTGCGTGGTCTGAGCCTTCACGGGTTCATCCGGTTGATGCTGGGAGTCCTTAGAATATCAGGAAAGCAGGGAAAAGGGGTTCCAGGAAGATAAACCTTTACCATACCAGGTAATATGTGACAAATGCACAGGGACATGGCAGCCAAGAGTTCTGAGGTGCAGAGGGTGCAGAGCCATGGGTGGTGGAAAGGCTTTTGAGGGTTCCCTTGGTTAGAATGGTGGGTAGGGTCACCCCATGCCCAGAAAACTCCAGGCCACAGTGCCCGGCTCTGGCAGGGGTGGGGGGGGCAATGACCTTGGAGCCTGTTCTGGTCCCCTCCCCAGTCCTTCTTCCGGTCCTGCACCAGCTGGCTGCCCTGACCCTTCCTGTCCTCTTGTTCATGGCCTGGGCATCATCAAGTTTACCAGCCAAGCGTCAAGATGGCCGGGTCCTGGGGATCCTGACCTGGGTCTTGAACAAGAGTGGGAGTGGACTAAGAGTTGTTGGGGGAGAGTAGAAAGGCCTAGAAGGGAGACGCAGCTTGGGTGGGGGAGCAGGAAGGGCACAGGAGCCGCCTGGGGAAGAGGAGCAGAGGAATGTGGTGAACAGCCTTCGGGGGAGCCTGTGGGACTCAGAAAAAGGGCAGTATCCCAGGAATCCCACACCCCCAGTCAGGAAGATGCTCGGGCAGATATGGGGGAGATGGCCTGGAGGCAAGGCCGGGGGCTTTCTAGATGGGACTGGAAAAGGGCGCTGAACCGAGCCGAGGGGTTGAATTTGACTGGGGACCCCCTGGCCCAGGGTCTTAAGGCGGAAAGATAGGAAAGGGTTCGATATTGGATAATGGGTCTAGGTGCCCTGGGAATAATAACAGCATCAGCGCACACTTACAGAGCACACTGTCATCCCAGGCTCCTTGGAAGCACTTTGCGTACATTAGCTCACTTCATCTTCACACTCATTACAGGAGTAGACAGTCTTATTACCCTGAGCTTACCGAAGAGCAAACCGAGGCAGCGGAGATGACGATGTCCTGGAGATCCACAGCCAGTAAGTGGCAGAGCCAGGTTTGTGACAAGGTAATCCAGCTGGGAGTCCTGTTTGACCACTGTCCCATGCTATCCAGCTTTGCTAGAGAGGGACGGTGAGTGCTAGTGGAGGCCCCTGGGGCACGGAAAGCAATGATCTCTCCAGAATGCTGCAGACATTTGCAGGGGGGTGCCGGGTGGAGAGACGGGGTTTTCCTTTGAGAACCAGGAGCCCAGGTAGGAAGCAGGATCGTGAAAGCTGAAAAGTTAAATACTTCATCACCAGCTTCTTTTTTTTCTGAGAAAGCCTCGCCAATCAAACACTTCTGTTCTGGGACCTAAAACAAAGGATGGACTTAGGCACACGTGAAACTTGGATTTCATTTGTCACAAAACTCTTCTGTGACCCTGGCACAGTGCTGGCTGTGTCCCATATGGCTCATCCCCCACGGCAAATCTCACCTCCCATGGTTGATATACTCAATTCTTTCCAGCAAATTCTTTTCTTTTTTGTCCTGGGGATTGAACCCAAGGGTGCCTTGCCACTGAGCCACATCCCCAGCCCTATTTTATATTTTATTTAGAGACAGGGTCTCACTGAGTTGCTTAGCGCCTCACTTTTGCCCAGGCTGGTCTTGAACTTGTGATCCTCCTGCCTCAGCCTCTCTAGTTGCTGGGATTAAAGGTGTGTGTCACCATGCCAGCTAACAACCAGGTGTTGACTAGGGGGAGTCTGGGGGTGGTGGCGCATGCCTCTAATCCTAGTGGCTCCAGAGGCTGAGGCAGGAGAATCCATCACAAGTTCAAAGCCAGCCTCAGCAAATTCAGCAAGACTCTAAGCAACTTAGCAAGACCCTGTCTCAAAAACAAAAAAGGCACAGGGGTGGCTGGGGAAGCGGGGATGTTGATCAGTGGTTAAGAGCCCTTGGGTTCAATCCCTGGTACCAAAAAATAAATAAATAACAACGCCCACGCATAGGCTCATGAGGAGGATTAAATGAGATAATGTATGTAGTTAGAAGGGCTAGTGGGTCTGGCATAGGCAAGGACCTTGGGATTAGTTCTTATTATAGTAATTATGATTTTCATTTTGTAGGACTCCGAGATAACCGCACATTTCGGCTAGCCCCTGCCCCTGACTACTGACACAGGGCCTCCAGTGCTGGGCACACCTCCACTCAGATGTTGCTGATGGCTCCCAAGGGCGCTTCATGTGGGCTCATAAACTTGCTCTGTGCTTAGAGCACAGCAGGTGCAATGTGTCCTGCTGGAGGAGGAGGGGCAGCAGGAGTCTCTGCCCTCCTGTGTCACCTCAGCTGATTCCATCCCTGAAGCCCCTGGGTTTCCCTGAGGCTGGACTGAGGACGGCTTTGGGTGCTTGCCACCCTGCTGTGCTGCAGTGCGGATCAGGGCTTTGCCACGAGTCACTGGGAGCACCCTGGGCCTCTCTGGCTCGCACACCCCTGTGAGGCGCTCTCCTGACAGTCTGAGGATTCTGAACCCAGTGTTCTTACAAGCCACCAGGCTCTGATGAATGTCTTGTCGTGGCCCCTCCGGGACAGCAACCTTCTGCAGACGGATTCCTCTGCAGAAAGCTCGAGCAAGGTCAGGGACGAGTCCTGCTCTGGGCAAGGGCAGCCAAGGAAGACAGGACAGGGGCTGGGGACCCCGCCGCCAGCCTGCCTTCAGCAGGTGGGTCTGTTCATGTAGGGTGGGGTGGGCCCTCCCTCCAACTCTGGGCTGCGTTTAGTCACAAAAAAAGCTTCCGTCAGGCTGTGAGGCTCCAAGGCCCTCATCAAACCCAGTCATCTGGCGAGGCGCGGTGGCCACACCTGAAGTCCCCGTGGCTTGAAAGCATCATGGGTTCAAAATCAGCCTCAGCGGTTTATCAAGGCCCTAAGCATCTCAGTGAGACCCTGACTCTAAATAAAATGTAAAAAAGGCTGGGGATGTGGCTCAGTGGTTAGTTGCCCCTGGGTTCAATCACCAGGATCCAAAAAAAAAAAAAAAAAGCCAGTCACCTGGCTCAAACCTTTACCAGGTCAGGGACATATCCAAGACTCTTCCTCCCTGTGTCTCTCACTGTCTCCTACAGAATCCTGCGTGAGAAGGGGGCTCGGGGACTTTCCTTGGGAGATGGAAAAGTTCTTTATCCTGTTTGGGTGGTGGTTCCAGGAGCGTAGACATCTGTCAAGCTATAATTGACCTATATTCAGGCAGCCCTGGGTAGCTGTGAGGGATTGGTGCCAGGATTCCCCAGGGATGCTCAAGTGCCTTCCATAAGACAGTGTAGCCTTTGCGTATAACCTATGCACATCCTCCTGGATGGTTTGAATCATCTCTGGGTGACTTACAATACCTGATACAATGTAAATGCTGTGTAAATAGTTGTTATAGGGTATTGTTTAGGGAATAATGATGAGGAAATAGTCTATCCCTGTTGAGTACAGACACAGGTATTTTCTGGATATTTTCCATCTGCAGGTGGTTGAATGTATAGATGAGGAAACCAAAGGTACGAAGGGCCAATGGCACTTAAAACATGTGACTCTTCCTGCCTGAAAATCACATTTCAGTCACAGTGGACAACAAACAGCAGTGGACACAGGGGACTGAGGCTTAGCTCCTCTCTCAAGAGGGCTCTGTCCTAACCCTGCTGCAGGGACAGGGACTTTTCCCCTGTCCCCAGCTGCCCTGATTCTAGGAACTGTCTGATTCACGGCCAGGAAACCCTTCCTTTGAGATGTTTCCTCCTAGGTCCACCCAGAACCTGCCAAATGGTGTTGTCCCTGGCCAGGTGACTGGTGGGCTGAGGAACAAGGAAAGAGCCTCCTGTCCTCTGGCTACAAGGAGTGTCTACAATAAACATAATAATTAAAAAAAAAAAAAAGCCAGTGAACCCCAGCAACTCGGGAGAACGAGGCAGGAGGATGGCAAACTTGAGGCCAGCATCATCCTCTTAGCAAGAAGCTGTCTCAAAATAGAAAATACAAAGGGCTGGGGTGTAGCTCAGTGGTAGAGCACCCCCCTGCCCAGAGCCAGTGACCACAGGACACACAGCTGACAGGGAACCTCAGGATGCAGAGCAATAATGGGGGAAAAAATCAAGACAAACAATCCCCCCAATCCCTCCTCCCAACTTGGCATAGAAAACCCAGCTGCCCCGTCTGGGTGGGATGTAGAGCAGGCCTGTTTGGGGTGATATTTATATAAGGGGCTGGGTTCCTCCCTCAGGCAAGTAGAGCAAGCTGTAAATTTTGAAGGCACATTTTAAAATTGTTTAAAACCCTCCCGATGCGTTTCCTGTCTGGCGGGTGAGCAGGCGCTGTTGCGGGGAGCCTGTGTGGCCTGGGGTGGTGTTAACAAGGGAGCGGGGGCGGGAGAAGGGGTCTGTTGTTGGTCAGGGTGTGTGTTCCTGGGGTTGGAATGCAGTAAAGGGGGCTCGGTCCCCAGGAGGGTGCTTTGGTTCGTCTGAGAAATTAGCATCTTTTAGAAACCCACCTATTATAAATCATGGGTTAAAGGCCTCCAGGGCGAATGATGCAGGCCTGGGATTCCGACTTCTGAAGCCAGGAGGTGCGACAATATTGACAGGCTTCCCAGCTCCGCGAGGGGGCCGGAGGAGGGCCGTGCGTGGCCTCCACCTTTGCCTAAGCTGTTCCCTCTTCCTGCGAGGACGCCATCGCCAGCTGTCAGGATCCTACTCATCCTTCCCGCCTGGCTCCGCACCACCTCCCCACAGTGCGGATTAATCACTCCCTCTTCTGGGCCCTGTGACATTTTGTCTCCTCCAATGTTTACTTTGATCCTTCTCTTCTGGAAATCTAGCCCAATGTGTGTCTGTCCCCATCGCACGTTGTTTGAGGACCAGAACAGTGTCCTTCCCTGCAGCTCGGCGTGCCCAGGGTGGGAGCCGGGTCCATGTTTGTGAGTTAAGGGTGGTTGTTGTCTTGTTCTTTCAAAAGAGAATCCCTTTTTTATTTTATTTTATTTTATTTTATTTTTTTGTACTGGGAATTGAATCCAGAGGGGCTTTATCATTGCATCCTATCCCTAATCTTCCTCCTTTGTATTTTGAGACAGGGCCTTTCAGTGGCTTAGGGCCTAGGGCCTCACTTAGTTGCTGAGGCTGCCTCAAACTTGCCATCCTCCTGCCTCAGCCTCCTGAGTGGCTGGGATTATAGGTGGCACACACTTCCCGCGGCAAGAAGTATTTTGTAGACGAGGAAGAGTATGCCGGTGGATGCCGTGCAAGCCTGTAATCCCAGCTGCTCAGGAGGCTGAAGCAGGAGGATCAAGAGTTCAAAGCCAGCCTCAGCAATTTAGTGAGGCCCTAAGCAACTCAGTGAGACCCTGTCTCTAAATAAAGTATGAAAAAGGGCTGGGGATATGGCTCAGAGGTCGAGTGCCCCTGAGTTCAATTCCTGGTACAAAAAATAAATAAATAAATAAACATAGAAGGAAGGCTACTGACATGAACTTCAACTTCATAAAAAACCATCAGACTTTAGGATACTATAAATATTTCCTACTCTGAACTTTGCGGTGCTTAGAGTATGGATATAATTGTACTGAACTTACAATTGGTAGAATTCAAAATCTAATGGGGAGAAAGCATGGTTTTATTGTCATCATGCTGCACAACATCTATCATGTTAGAAAATCCTCTGTTTAGGGGCATAACATTTGTGGGAGACAGGATCCGTGGCAAACTTGTCTTTATCATGAAATTTCCTGGCCCTTGATTGATGAAGGATGGTGGCGCTTCAGTAACTGGGCACTATTCCCTGCGGTGACTCCTGGGGACAGGAATTGTGGAACACAAAGCCGAATGCGGATGGAATACTTGATTTGGATGAATAATTCAAAGGCGACCAAACTGCTGCCTCGTTAAATGGAAATGCTAAAGGGAGTGGCAATCTATAAGTCTAGCTATTGTGTTTGGCTTTCAAAAACAAATTACAGAAAGAAAGGAGGAAAAGGCAGAGCCTTGCTACTACCCAGGCAGCCTGTGTTGCAGGCGCTGGGCCAGGGCCAGGGGCCTGCCGGCCTCAAGTGAAGGTGGCTATTCATGCCCTTTCCTGAACTTCTCTGCCACCCCCAGGATGTGGGGCAGGCAAGAAACAGGTGCCAGGGGACTAGGCAGAGCCAGAGTTTTAATACTAAGGAGCAGTGATCCTGAGCCTCAGTTCCCTCATCTGTAAAGTGTAAGGAATAATAAATCCCTCACAGTGGTTGGGGATGCCCTTGTAAACTGCCCAGCAGAGCACCTGCAGCTGTATGTACAGGGCGAGAGGTGCCCCACTTTGCTTAGAGTCCCTCTAACCTCTCAGTTCACCTATGCTGCTGCTGTGTGTGTGTGTGTGGGGGGTACCAGGGAACTGAACCCACTGGTGCTCAACCACTGAGCCTCATCCCAGCCCTTGTAAATATTTTCTTTAGAGGCAGGGTCTGGCCAAGTTGCTCAGGGCCTCCCTGAGATGCTGACGCTGGCTTTGAACTCCCATCCTCTGGAGTTGCTGGGGTTTACAGGTGTGAGTCACCGCGGCCGGCCCTAGGCTGCTCTTCAAGTTTAAGCTGCTCTAGCAAATAAAAATACAGGATGCCCAGAGACATGGTTTGGATATGAGGTGTCTCTCCAGAGCTCTTCTGTTAATGCAGGAGTGTTCAGAGGTGAGATGATTGGATGGTGAGGCTGTAATCAGTGCATTTCAGGTTGAATGGACGGACTGGGTGGCAACTGTGGGGAGATGGGCGCGGCTGGAGGACGAGGGTCACTGGGGGTGAGCCCTGGGTGAGTCCTCTTCCCGCGGCCCCTTACCCTCTCTCTTTCTCTGAATAGAACGGTGCTCCTCTTCCAGGCTCCTCCTGCATGATGGCCTAGACCTTGGGCTAGAACAATGGAGTTGGCAGACAGTGGACCGAAACTCTGGACTGTGAGCCCCAAATAAACTATTCCTCCTCTACATTGTTCATGTCGGGTATTTTGGTCACAGCAAAGCAAAGCTGATGTAAATGCTCAGTTAAATCTGAGTTTTGAATAAACAATGGATAATTTTTTTAGTATGTGTGGTATAATATCTGGGACATACTTATTTATTTAGATGTTGACAAATCTTTATTTATTTTTATTTTTTTTAATAGAAGGTGGACAAAATACCTTTATTTCATTTTTATGCGGGGCTGAGGATCGAACCCAGTGCCTCGAACAGGCCAGGCGAGCGCTGGGCCACTGAGCCATGGCCACAGCCCACAGTTATGTTTTTTAAAAACTCATTGTTTACTCAGAATTCAGATTCAGCTGGGAGTTCCGTGTTTTATCTGGCAACACTACGTTAAGTCCCACATCCTCGGTGACAGCTCCGCCTCTACCTCTGAACTCCCGTGGCCCTTCGTGAC